CGCAGGCAGCAGCGGCAATTGCCTGCGTTGCACGGCGAGTTGCGGCGCCTGCCTTTTTGCGTCTAAGTGCCATGTGCGTTTCAGCGGTACGACCGGATAGACACCTTTTTCTAGATCTGCTACTTTCCATGTCGCACCTGGAAACTGCACGAAAATTCCATTGCAGCCATGCACTGTCGCAAGAGCATGGTCGCGCGTGCGATCTGCCCGGAACAAAACCATGCCTGCGCAGCCTTTTGCACGGACCCCTGCGAATGCGACTTGTGGCACCCGCGCGAGTCCAGACATTCTCCAGCTGCGCGTCGCAGCTCCGGCCGCGACACACAAAGCAAACAGTGGCCCGAGCGGGACACCTCACTCGAAGTCGTCCTCTTCTCCCTCTTCGCGAACCTGCGCAGCTCCCAAGCTGGGTCCGCCTACCATGACGCACAATGCACGCAGCCCCAACACCACGCCTCAGCAGCAACGCGGAGCCCAGCCGCAGACACCCGCATGGACAAAGTGACTACCTCTGTTAAGCGAGCTGCCATCTTCCTTTTCTTTGCCGAGGAGCCGCCGGAGCCGTGAAAGGCCAAGAGCTGCGCAGCTGGCGAAGAAGCGTCGCCCACGCGTTTGATGCGCGACGCCGTGGTAGCCCCAACCTTTCCAGACGGATGCAACCATGACATGTTAGCCGGTGCAACACGAAGCATTCTTCCTGCCGCCAACGCGCCTCCTTCTCCTTCTGCAGATCCGAAGCTTCCACCAAGTGCACAGACCCCACGTCCTTGACCTTGCGCACGAAGTTTGCATACTCCGCCTCCACACAAACACATCAAGTCGGGCAATCCGTCCTTGGCTCAAAGGAATGGTCTTCCCGAAGCGCGCATCCTTGCTTCGGTCCAAGTACTTCGCGAAAAAGTTGAGCACGTCCCCACGACCATTCCAGACCTGCGCCTCGTTCATAATCACCCGCACACTGCGCCATGTTGCCGGGCCTGCCGGCGCTGGAGCCGGCGCCGCCCCCTCGTCACTGCCCTCGGAATGCATCGGAGAAGGCATCTGCTCCTCGGATGCCCCGGAAGCGCCCACATCCTGACCAGACTTGGCCGAACCCAGCTGTGGCGCGGTATGCTCGAGCACCTTCGAACCTGCCGGCAGACTGAGCACCTCCTCCGGAGACACCGCCGCCACAACTGCCCCCTGCCGCATAACAACCTCCACTTCTCGCCCGAGAGCCTTGGTCAGCTGAACTTGAACAGCCTCCGCAGTCTCGGTTGTAGCAACCAACGCCCAAACGGCAGACATGATCGGAGTGCTACGGAGTTGCTACGGGACCTTTCTTGGGTCAAACACTGCGTCGAAGTCTAGAACCCCTACGCTCTTGCTGCACCACATCTGTTGCAGGCCACACGACTGAATACTTTCGCGAAGCCCAACGGACTTGCGAGGACGGGTTCCAAGCTTCTAGACTGGGTGCCTCAAGGATACGACCTTTTCGAGTTTTGGGTATAAATCCTGGAACCCAAAACCTCAAGTTCCAAACGAAGCCACTAGTGCACTTTCAGCCCTGGCCCGGACAGAGCCTCCAACGCCAGAAGCCTCACCGGCACGAAGCTGCGCCGCCGGAAGGGGAACGAAGCTTGCCTGCAACAACTCTTCCACATATGCGGCGACATGCATTACAGTCGCGCCCGTGCCCAAAACCTGAGCCGCGAGCGTTGCTCACCAAAACACGTCTCAACAGGCACACATTAAATACCTTCACGCGCCATGCTCGACGCTCCAAGCGGTGCAGCAGCCATGATGCTTTGTCCAGTTCCCGGAACACCTGAGAAGCTGCTGCGCGACAAGAAAAGTCCTGCCCGGCGGGGACTGCTGGTGCAATCCAAGACACATTACAGATCGAGCAGCCACGGAGCCTTGACGCCGTGCTGAGGCTAATCCCGAACTTCTCTGACACGCATCTCGCCAACGGAAGCCTCTTGCCGGCCTCGCTTGAGAAGCTCTGCCTACACAACGATATCGTGGGTTACTCCTACGTCTCCGCTGCGGCCACATGCAGCCGGAACACTAGTCGAAGACGAAACATGAAGAGTCGCGCTGCCGCTGCGTTAAAGAACGCTCTGCTCAGCCGCCGCACACCTTCCAGTGGCCGCGCCGAGGCCTCCAGCGCCGCGCGCCGCTGCATCACCGCCGCACGCTGTGCCATGAGGGTGCACCGTCCGGGGGATCTCGCTTCGCAGACGCCGTTCGGAGATGTCGCCTTCACGAAGGAAAAAATGGGCCTGACGACGCCCGTGAACACAACCCCCAACCCCCAACGCGCCTGGCATCCTTGCTGCCAGCAGGAGCTGCCGCAGCTTGGCTAGACCCTTACATCGCAGCCGCGCGCGCTTCAACGCGCGCTCTGCGTTGCGCCGCGCGTTGCTGCTTTTCGACATGCCGCCCCCGCGGCCGCTGCAGAGCCGGAATGGCGGGCTGCAGGACTTGGGGTTTGGGGGTGCCCTCCTACTTCATGCCGCCTACCTGCGCCGGGCCCCTGGGAGCGGGGTCGGCGGCACCGGCGCAGCCCTTCAATAAAAATCGGGCAGCGCTTTGCTGCCCTGTATGGACTGAGCTATGGCTCAGACGAATGAGCTTCGTCTGCGAAGCAGAAGCCACGACCGACAGTGCCGCCGACCCGCCCCGGACCCCGCATCATCGGACCCTCGTTTCTCCCTCGGGCCGCGCGGGGCCTGGCCCGAAGGCTTCTCGGAACGCGCACGCGTTTTGCAGCCATTCCCCGCGGTGTGGCGGGTTTCGGGGCCGCCGTGGACGACCCAGGAGGCGAGCCGGCGAGCATCATGAGCCCTCGGGCGCCCGCAACCGGCGCCGGCGGCGCGACGTGGGCGCGAAGTCATAACTCCCAAGTTTTTGAGGGGGTTGCGGAAGCCGCCAAAGGGCGCGCATCATGAGCATCAGCGGGGTCCGGCGGACGGGGGGTGCGGGCTACATGCAGGGCCGACGGGGGCTGAGAGCCTACGATCACCCACAAGTTGCGCACTTCGGGCCTACGTTGCACTTATCTATATACCGCGGGTTTCTGACAACAGCTCGCGCTGCCCGCACCTGGGCGCAGCCCCTAAACAAACACAAACAGACACAGGCATGATAAAACACATATACATGTACATATACATGTACCTACACTTTTTATATATACACATAGATGTATAAAAATTTTGATATGCCCAATGTATTCGTCTATCTCTCTTCTTCTCCCAGCCGTATGGGGCGAGTTAAGTCCCGCGGGCGCTAGTGTATTACGCGCTGCACAGAGAGGTGTGAACCTTTAGAAGGGGTTTTCAAATAAACTAAATCTATCTATCTTCTTCAGCACAGCAACACTATCTCTCTCTGACTCTCTCTTCGTCTGTCTGTCCGTCTCTGTCGATCTGTCGGTCTCTCGATTTGTCGGTCTGTCGGTCTGTCTGCCTGTGGCAGTTGGTGCGTACGTATACGTGCGCGTTTCTGTAGATGTATATGCAGATGTAGATGTAGATGTAGATGTGCATGTATATATGCATATGCATACGCATACGCATACGCATGTGCGTAGGCTTAGGCGTACATGTGTATGTGTATGTGTACGTACGGACATAGGTAGGTACGTCTGTATGCATGTATGTATATGCAAATACGAGCAATGCTGCACATTGATGTATGCTTGCAATTACACCTGAAAGTACGTGAGTCACATTTTCACCATAACTACATGTCTGCGACATACACTCCGCCGTCATCACCTACGTGCATGCCTGTGCCAATGTATGCACATGTATCGGCATTTCACAAGCTCAGCTCCCTGCGACCCTCTTTGCCCCCCTGGCTGGCTGATGTGACAGACTGCTAATGCTGTTGCGGGCAAGCCTACCGTTTTCGGTCCGTCAGTGCTGCTGGTTCTACGCTTTTCTCGATTGATGCTTGTGACTACACCACTGGTAATAGCATCGCAGAGACTGCCATGCTCGATGCTTAATCTCCTTGCTGCTGGCATGACTGCTCATCGGATTGGTACTTGGTACGTCTAGCGCGAGCATTGTCACTGTGATGATCCGGATGATGCTACAGCTGCTATTGATATGACGATGATGGTGAAGATGCTGGTGGTGGTTGTGATGGTGTTGGCGCTTCTGTTTGCCATGCTTGCAGCAAGTACTTTACAGCCTGTGAGCTTCTCCTCTCACTGACACCACTAACCAACGTGGCATAGCGGTGGTGTACCGTACTTTCGCCCGACATCCGACACATCTCTGGTGACCCTGAAATCGCTAAGCGACCGATGGGTAGGAAATGAAGCCAAACAAGACTCGCCTCTGATTCCCCTGCCGCCCTTGTCGTGACAACTCTTCCGCCTGGCCGCCCTTCAGCTGCTCCTTGGGCGTCTGCCCGGCCCCAACCAAGCCAGGCCTGGGCACTCGACCACGGTCAGAGGACACGATATAATATATATATATATATATATATATATATATATATATACTATAATATGATATACATATATATATATACATATACTATTATATCATATTATGTTATGTTATTATATCATATTATATAAATTCCTGCACAAGCCAACTTTCAAGCACCTTTTCACAAGCGCTCGGCCGTGAGAGCTGTACAGCTGACATCTTGAGCACTCGCATGTTTCGGGCGCTGTACAGGATGCCATAACATAACATAACATAACATGATATAATATAATATTATATTATATTATAATATATTATAATATATTATATTATATTATATTATATTCTATTCTATTCTATTCTATTATACTCTATTCTATTCTATTATATTATATTATATTATATTATACTATACTATATTTTATTATATTATATTATAGTATAGTATATTATATTATATTTTAGGGTCCTTATAATATGGATCCTACTATTTAGGGTACTATATTAAGGTCCCCCTATTTTCGTGTCCGCGCATGTCAAAGCATGCGCAGCCCGTGCCAGCACACTTCAGGCAGGGAGGGGGAGGACGCTGCCGGCAGCGGCAGGGAGCTCCTCTTTCTGAGAGACCTCTGTTTCTCCCGCTGGTTCCTCGGTTTCAGAGGCAGGCGAGGGGGCAGGCTCCCCAGGCTCCCCCTCCTTGCTGTCATCTTGGAGTTTCACCAGTAGGCTCCTCAGGCACTTGAGATCCAGCTCTGTCTCTGAGAGAGACGGTAGGCCCTCAGCAAGCAAGTATTCTGCGGTGTTGGAGTGGAGTTTTTGTCCCAGAGCGTCCAGGCAGGACAGCATCAGCTCGGCCAGCTGCAGATCGCGGGCCTCTAGAGCAACCAGTGCGAAGCAGGTCGCCGTCTCCTCAAACTTCTCTACATCGGTACGTGAGCCGAAGAGGGTGCCTGGCGGAAGGCCCTTCGCCAGGTGGGAGAGCGCAACTTCGCTGATTTCACAGAGGTTCCGTCGCAGCCCCGGATCGGCCAGAAAGGCCTTCACATCCCCCAAGTTTCGGAGAGAGTACTGGGGCCGCGAGGTTCTCCGCACTTGTTCCAAACTGGGCCAGACCCACCAGATCCAGTGGCTCGTCTTCCGCCCGTTTCGAATCTCCTCTCCAAAGGCTGTCGCCGACGCGACAAGGACTTGCTCTCAAACTTTGCCCCGGCTACCCTACAAAATGCAAAGCAGGAAGTGGCAGCCCACTGCACCGACTATCTGAGTAGGTGTGACACTCACGGCTGTAACTTGCGCTGCGAGCTGCCCACATCAAACACTCCAAGGAAGTTCGAATCCTCGCCCCTCGGTTTCAAGAGTCCAGCGAAAAATTGTGCTCAGAACCCCAAAAGCAACCTCCGTTTGTTTGACCCCTCGACCGTCCTTCAATGCCTGCTTGTAGCCATTCCCGGCCTGTGCCTGGTTCACAATTTCTCAGCTTCGGTCATGGCTTCTTCTTCTTCGATGACACTGCTAGAAAAATAGCGGGTACTGGAGCTTCAGGCAGAAAAGCAGGAACCCTGGCGCTAATAATCTCCTGCCATGCGCGACAAGCACTCCCACGACAGAATTCTCACGTTTGCCCTAGCCGTCTTGAGGGTAACCTAAGTTTTACTGGAAGGATGACTATAAGGGTTGCATTCAGGGTCAAGAGAAGAGTTACATCCTAGGTGCAGGCCTTGCGGATCTCTTGCAGCACAGGATTCTTATCAGACGACGGCATGGCGGCGAGGATCGGTGGCCGAAACGGGTTCAGTTTAAGGTTTAGGGTTCGTTCTGGTGAGGCAGTCAAGATTGGGGGGTCCTTGATCATTAGAATCGGGCTTTGGGGGTGTATTGTATTCTGGTTTCGACAAGGACTATGACTATAAGGGGCTATGACATGGTTATTCGGTGATATTATATGGCTGAATCTAAAGTCCGGCCTACCCTCAGCCTGAGGATGCCTTATCCAGTGCTTTCGCTGTAGATCAACTCGGAAAAGCTTTCCTGACGCAGCAAATACCATTCTTGCCGTTCCTGTAGAGGATACGTAAACAGTGGGATGCGACGCAGCATCGCATGTGCCCTGTCTCTCGGAACTCCCTGAGCTTGCCGTCTCGAAACGAGCTAAAATTCTAAATAGAGTTGCCCTTGGACGCTTGAAGACATGAAGCCTCCATCCTTAGCGGCGGACAGCGGCAGGAAGGGATGGTTCGAGTCCACGACGATGTCGGACAAGACCAGCGTGGGGGACTCGGCAACACTTTATCTTGCGAGCTTCTGAGAGGCAAGGATGAAAGCTACACAGAGTGCACGGCTCCGATGGGAAGTTGGGACTCTACCAGCCTGGTGCAGCAGATCACCTTGGAGAGAAGGAAGCTTGCCTTAGGGTAGTAGGGAATGGAGGAATGGGGTACATTTTTAACTACTATTACTACCATTCTTCCATTCCTACTAACCAAAGGTAAGGAAGAGGATCTTAGAAGCATCCCGGCCAGCTTTGTGAACACCCCTCTGCTTGTTACCTTGTAACCACTCCCTCCCGTATACCTTCCCTTCCGGTCGCTCAAAACAGGAGCACCTCGAAGTCCACCGTCCAGCTCTCCTCGCGTGCAGTCATAAGGACTCTTGGGGGGGTAGAGGGACTATACTTCCTTGAATAGGCCTTATTGGGTCCTCATTATGGGTAAAAAGGCCGCCCAACCCCCCTCCCTACGCCCTCATAGTCCCTATTATGCAGAGATCTGAGACTCCAACAAAACACTGGCGGCTGGTGTTTAAACTAAGTGTCGAGCTACAGGGGTCGAGCTACCAGGAACTATCTGTCATGGATCTGGGCCAGCTTCCAGCGGATCAGGTAGCAACCTTCTGAACAGGCTCCTTGTTCTCAACATCATGTCGGCCCGCGCCACCGTGCGTGATGAAGATGGCGGAGGCGCCTGGCACAGACACCCCCAAGCAAGCGGGTTGGGCCGGTTGGAGGTCCTCCCCGGACAGAGGGAGCCTGTGAAGTTCACGCGCTGCAGATCCAGCATCGACGTCGGAGATCCCTGGAGGAAGTAAACCTCTCCGGGCCAAAGTGGAGTGAGAGCTTGGGCTTCAATGACAAAGATGTGCAAAATGAGGGACACGCGTGTGCATGCATGCATACATACATACAGAAACACAGTTACGCGACGGCTTCTGTGTGTATGCATACATCTTTACAGGCAGAGATGTACGTATATGTGCAATTGTATGTATGTGTCCTTAGATATTTTTGTAAGCCTACTATGTGGATGTGTCTTGCGAGCTACGTATGCATGCATGTATGTATCTGTGTGTGCATGTATGTGTGTATGTGTGTATGTATGTATGTATGTACGTACGTAGGTGCTTATGTATGTATGTAGGCGTGTGTAATGAATATATGTATATGTATATGTATATATATATATACATATACATATATGTAGACATTCATGCATGTATGTATGTATGTATGTGTTTATGTATTTCTTCCTTCAATATTCCGCCTTGCTTGTCTTGTCCTCGCCTGCTCACTGGTCTCGACATTGAACCAATCCCTCGGCTGCATGGCCTGAGCTCCAGCATCAATGGCCCTGCCAGCTTTGACGCATGTCGCTGAGGCACCCGGCGGACAGCACAACTACTGGGATGATGTCCTCCGCGTTCAGGATGCTTTGGCGCAGGGGCCTCGGCACGGACATCTAGCCTTCGCTCGTGTTGCGAGGCATCCGGATTCGGTCTCTCTTTGCAACCGAAGTCTCTTGACGAAGTGTTCGATGCCCAGGCGGAGATCCTAGTCTCTCGAAGAACGCCCTTCCCATTTTCAGATTCCCTCAAGCCCTGCCGGCCGAACCTGGGAAGTGGTCTGACCAAAAGTCCCGGAAAACCGGAAGAGACGAAAATCACATGGAGGCTGCTCCTCGGTGGTCTCAGTCCCGACGGCCAGGATGAGGATGTGGCCACCAACCTCGGGCCCAGGGTTCCCACTCTTGGGTTCCACTAAACCGTCTTCGTAGTCTGCGATGCGACCAGTAGTAAATTGTCCATACATACATACATATATATATATATATGTGTGTTTATTTATTTGTACAGTTATTTCGATTTACACTTACACTAGAAATTTGCATTTCTGTTTATGTCTGTACGCATGCATCCATGAATGAATTGCAATTTCATGTCACGTAATGTCATGCAATGCAATGCAATGCAATGCAAGCATGTATGTATGTATGTATGCATGTATGTATGTAACTACGTAAGTATGCAAGTCAAACAGAGTTGGGCCAATTTCAGCCGCCTCTTCTCACTTTTGAGATCCAAGCATATCGTGCCCCAGCAGCGCCTGCAGCTGTGGACGGCCTGTGTCTTCTCTACTCTCAGGTACGGCCTCACGAGCACTGGTCTTCCCCCTCGGGGACCTGATATTATCCGGCAGGTTGTGGCCAAGCAGATCCGTCTTGTCCTCAAGTCTCCAAGCTGGATCACTCACGAGAAGACGGCCGCGCTCTATGCTAGATTTCACTTTCTGGACCCTGTTGATCAGATGGCTGCCCAAATGCAGTCTAGACACAGCCGGCCTTCTCTCAGTATTGAGGCCTTTGACACTCCAGAACGCCAACGTTGGCGCTCTGCCCTCCCGGCCTCCTTTACGCCCGGCCCTCGTACTGATCGACTGTCGCCTACCCAGTCACCGGAGGAGATGTCTCGTTGTGGCCTCGTCGACGTATCGGGTGTCATTGCGCGCACCTACACCTGCCCACACTGCCCGCAGACTTTTCCCACCTTAATTGCCCTTCGCACCCACTGCACCAAATCCCATGGGAAGCTTGCCCCGGATGTTCCCTCTCCGGTTGACCCAGAGACCCCTTCTGCCTCGACTTTACACACTACATCCGCTCGCCGGGAAGCTGCTGCTCCCCCCGCGGCTGCTGTTGTGTCTACCCCTTCTCCTGCTATCCCGCCCTCGCAGAAGGAGCTTCGTGCCAGGTTCATGCAGTTCGCTAAGGATGGCATGCCCCACTGTCTTCTCTGTGATCGCCAGTTTGCTGCATGGCCGCCTTTTCTGAACCATCACTACACCAACTCCTGCCCTGCTCAGGCTCATGATGGATCCCTCGTGAAGGACCCTGCAGCCCCTGCGGCCTCCTCCTCAGTCCTTGTTGCTGAATCAGTCCCTGATGCGACGCCTCAAACCTCCGACCTGGTCCCGCCAGTTGGGGTGGACACTCCGCCTCCCGTTGAGGTGCCCTCTCATCAGTTGCCGCTCCTTCAAAGATCTGACATCCGAACACTGGCCGGTCAGGAGGATTGGCAACCTCTGGCACACTACCTCCGCTCCCTGCACTCTGCTCATGGGCTGCGGCACTGCCCTGTTTGTCATCAATGGTTCACTCGCACACAGGACATTTTTCGGCATCTGAAGAGGCAGCATCCGCTCCCGGCCCTGCAAGAGTCAATGAGAGCTGATTGGCTTACAGCAAGGACGGCTGCCGCCCGCTCCCCTTGTAGCTGGTGCAGACTCGCTGTGACGTTTAAGACCCAGCACGCTGTCGCCTGCCCTGTTCTACAACAAACCATCACTTTGCGCATCCTCATTCGCCATGAGCTTGGCCTCCTCTCTTGCCCTGGGCAGCGGCCTCTCCCTGCAGGAGACACAACAACGGGAGGCTCAGGCCGAGCTGTTGCTCCTCCAATGCTGGGGAGAGGACAAGAAGGCGATGGTTCAGGACACGGCCAACAAGCGTTCGGAGATGGACCAAACGGAGGAGCCAGAGAGGGAGCGCGACGCGAAGTACTCCAGACCGGACTCCAAGGGTGGCTACGGCAGGGGCGGGAGAGGCAAGGGCAATCAGCCAAAGGCCAACGGCCCTCGCAGACAGCCCTTCCGCCGCTCGGCGGAGACAGAGGCCGGGGCGCCGGAGGGCATGATGTGGCTTCTGGGCAAGCTCCTTCTTCGGCACGAGGATCAAATGGGCATCGACAAGACCCAAAACAGCTTTGTCATGTTCTTCAAGCGAGAGAGTGCTCTCTCCCTGATCCCCCTCTTCGTGCAGAAGTCTCAGCACTGGAATGCCCTCAAGGAGCAGAAGCAGGAAAAGATGGACGAGATTGCTCTCCCTCTCAGAACCTTCCTGTTTCATACCCTGTTGGAGGCTCTGGTGAAGCGCATCAAGGATACCGTGCAGAACGACGAGCAGCTGAAGACGGCCACCACCCTCCAGGTGTTCCTTCCACGGGACGGCGACGCGGAGCTACAGGTGCCTTTTCTAAGCTACAACCAGGAGACCAAGACTCTGGCGCCTCGGCAGGATCTGCAGCCCCTTCCGGTCTCAACGATGCTCGAGAAACTGCAGGTCTTACAGAAGCAGTGCCTTTGTCCCCTGGCCATCATGCGCTTCCACTCCACCCAACGGCTCAGCGGGCCTCTCCAGGGCCCCACCGTGCCCTTCCTGCTTCAGGTGGGTCACAGATCGCCGGAAGCGGCCGAGCTATATCTGAGCCTCCGCTCGCTGGCCAATTCAGCGATTTGGCAGTTGGTGGGAGGGTCCCTGCGCCCGGAGAAAATGGGTCGCTCCGCGCTGGCGACGGAACTTGCTCGCCGTCTGCAAGGGCCCTTCACTCAGAGTGCCTGTTCTCCCTCTCACCCCAACTGCTGCGTATACGCAATGCCTCCAACCACTGCTATGCTAATTCGATGCTGTGTTGTCTCCACTGGGCCAATCAGTTGCTCTGCTCAGCACCGGCTCATCCTCAGGTGATCTGGTCCGCGGCCATGCATTCAGTCATGCGGAGAATGACTACACAGGCGCCTGTCCCTGATCTCTGGTCTCTTCTCCAATGGGCCATCTTGCATTCCGGGTGGGCCCGGCCACACTCCCAACATGATGTTGCGGAATATCTTACCTTCTGTCGCAGGTTCGTCATTCCGGACCTGCTCTTGGGCAGGTGGCAGAACAGGCTTCTTCTTACCGACTGCAACCCTCTTCGCTGCCAGGTGCGTGACTGTGGGGAAGCATGGCCTATGCTCCTTGCAACGCCACCCTCTCAGTGCGATACAGGCCCTAGTGGCAGAGTTACCATCCAACGGCTTATTCATGCATGGAAGGTCCAAGCTGCGGTTGGAGTCACTGCCCTCGAACGTGAGCCGAGCCTTTTAGTTTTGCAGGTCAATAGGTTCAGCCCTGATGCTATCGGTGCAAAGGATGCAACGAGTGTGCTGCCCGATCCTCGCATCTTGCTACCCTGCTTTCAGCATCGACCCACTCCGCATAATTCCGCCCTTCTTGTGAGACACTGCGAATACCAGCTGATTGCAATCATTATGCACGAGGGTCCCGATGCAGCATCCGGTCATTACCGTGCGCTCCTTTGCACTTACCCTCCTGAATCGGAGCCCACTTTCTGGCTATGCGACGATTCAAAAGAGCCGACCACTCTCACCGAGTTGCCGCTACCAGCATTGACCACGGGCTATCTCTACTTCTACTGCCGCACTCAGCAGTCTCAGCAGTCCTAGCATGCTCGGAACGTTATGGGCCATTCGTGGCAGGTCCCGATCATCGCTACGGCTGCTAGCACGTTTCTCACCGACGTGTGCAAATGCACATGGCTCACAGCAGCCGGGGTGGCTCCCTGTCATAACAGCCTCGCCAAGCGGACTTCCTCTGCAGCGTATGAAAGAAAGAAGTATGCAAGTCTGTCTGTCTGTATGTCTGTATGTCTGTATGTCTGGACTTTTATGTGCTATACATATATATATATATATATATATATATATATATATATACGTATACGTATAGATCGAATGATAGACCCCGAAATCGGGAGAGAGCGGTGCACGAGACGGGACGGAGCTGGCTCGGCTTCGGCTCTGGTCGCGTACCACTTAGGAACAGGCCCCTCCCCCCCCCGCCCCCGCACAGTAACAGTCTATGATAGGGCTACTCTTAAGGCCCTACTATATATCTGTATTATGAATATTAGTCAACTGGTACTGAGTGGGGGCCGTACCCAATGTACCACCACTACGTAAGCCTCGACAAACGAAATCTATTGATCTTATTGTGCTGATTATTACTATGTTTATGGCTTTTGTGGTTCATGACTGTTACATATGCATGTGTACATACATACATATATATATATGTGTATGTATCTATAAATATATATATATATATATATACATATATACATATATACATATACATATACATACATATATATATATACTGTTTATATATTGTTGTCGTTACTACTACTTTCGTTTTTGTCAATCTGATCTTTCTTTTTGCTCGTGGCCTTCGCCTGTTTCTTCCTTTGTTTCCTGATTCTCAGCTTTTGGCGGAAGCGATTTCCCTGAGTTTCGCGACTTTGCTATTGGACTCGTCAGCTGAACTACAATTCAAGGCCCTGGCAGCCAGCCGTTTCAAAGGAGGCCGCATCGGCTTCAGTGACCTCTGGTGCCTTCCGCAAACAGGTGCGGCAAACGATCCGGGTTCTCCGCCTGGTGCAAGACGAAGACCCACGCTAGCATCCCCACCAAAGCCCGCCCTTTGAGGCAGAAGCACGACCCTCACTCGTTTCTGCCTCCGGGAAACTCTGGCCAGGTTGATGGCAGCAGCCTCACCCCACTCCGCACGCGGTTCTGTCGGGCATGCTTGGGGCACAGGTGCGAAAGTAAGTCAACCTACAGTTGGCACAGCAATGACAGACTCCAAGTAACCGTTTCCTCTCACAGTCCCTAGATACTCTTAGTACAAGGTACGCCAAAACTCTATTGTAACGATAGTACCCCCCAAACCCTAGTCTCGCTGTTTACCAGCAATGCTTTGGATCATAGCTGGCCTTGTGCTCGGGCTTCATACTCACGTGCGCGAGCTCTGGAATGTCCTCCTCCTGCTGACATCATGACGTCTTTCAGAAAAGGCGGGAAGACGTCCTATAAAGGGTAACTATAAGGAGTTACTCAAAAGCTGTTAGTTATCATACGGGCTTAGATAAGTGTTACCGTAAGCGTCACCATAAGCACTGTAAGTGCAAAACGGGCTGCCATAGGTGGTTCATAGAGGCTCTGACTGCGACAGGCCGGACCTTCTGGACGATCTTGGGCGCAGTACCTCAGCCGGCCGCCCCCCGCAAGCCACTAAGTCTGCGGAGACTTCTACAGGCTGAAGTGCATGAAGACGAACAGGGTTCCAATACTCCTGAAGAAGCCCAGAACCTTAAGTCCAAGAAGCTCTTCAAATCTTGTTATCCATCTATGCGAACCAACCCAATGCAAAATTGCCACAGCCCGACCATCTTTCGCACATACAGCCCCCATGCAAAGTAGTCCAAGCACGAAGCCCTCTTCCTCTTCCTGGTCCACGCCACCCTGCATTCGGTGAACATAGATGTTGGCTCTGCAGGTCCCTTCATATGCGTGTATGTGTGTAGGTATAGAAACAGATATCGATATAAATATTGGTGTAAACATGATATAGAAGCAGATATCGGTATGTGTATTTTTATATACAGACATATATATAAATACAGAGAGAGAGGCGCTCACAAACATATACCTATATATGTGTGTACGTATGTACATATTATATATCTAAAGATATATGAGTGAATCCACTTATCTATCAGTTTATGTGTATATAGGTACATATATATATGACCACATATATGTGTATATATATATATATATATACATATATATATATATATACATGTGTACATGTTTTGCGTATGAACACATAGACAAATATGTCTGTATGTGCACATACATTCAACCAGGCAAGCACACATGCATGGATGGCTGTATGCATGCGTGCATGCATGCAGCCATCAATGCATGCATGCATATATATATATACATATATATATATATATATACATATATGCGTACAGACAAGCATGCATACATACATCCATACTTACATGCGTACATACACAAATACATACACACATACATACATACACGCGCACACCCACATCCCTTCGCAAGTATCTATCTCGTACATATATACTTTCACACATACTTACATACATGCATACCTACGTACATGACATACATACATGCATACATACATAGATACATTAGGTATATGCATCTGTGTAAATACCTATGACCTTGTGTATACAAGATAAAGACAGACACTACAACATATTATCATATGATGCGATGCATGCAAGACGACCAGCTCCGTTCAACAAGCTCGTTCAGCTCAGGGGACTGGGAATTATGACCCAGAACCGCATCGCAAAGCCTTTGTGCCAAACTAACATGCATATGGCATACCCAGGATGGATTGAGATCACCGTACGGGGGGCATACGCAGGCAGGGAAAGGGACCTCGTCCATCGACACACGTTCCCGACGCCCAAGGAACACCATGCCCACGTCGCACTGCATGATGGCCTCAACATTAGCCATGGATGCGGAGAACGCCGACCCGGAAGTTTATATTAGACTCACATTCCTTAACCCAACGAAAATGGGCGATCGAGGGGGCTGCTGACAATCGAAGCCGTTGCTTTTGCACTCCTTTGGAGCTGTAGCACGTGTGATATCGCACGACATAAAGATTCCACGCATCACTGTCGAAAGAAGGACATGGTTCAGCATGGCAGCATCAAGCTACAATAAGCTTCAGCATAATGAGGTACAATGACAACGAAAAACCTCTCGAACTGGACCTCACAGAGCATCTGCCACCGGCATGTGCTGTCAATTGCACAATATCATGCAGCGAACGATGTTCCGGCATGATCTAGTTCAGCAGAGTGTAATACAGCTCAAACACAAAACAACAAGACTGAAAAAACATAACCGAGAGCAATGCAGTATACTACACCAGAACATGCTGCAAATTCAAAGTGTATAGCAGCCTAGCTACAGCCTTATACAACCAAGGATATCGTCTTGCTGCCGCACGGTGTTGTCTGATGTCGTATGTTGTTTGCCACATGACTAAAGCAGCAAAATATCGTACGAATTGCGTCAGCACAGCATGACATCGATTCTTATCCTGTGGCATCTGTAGGGATTCAAGATGTTCTGACGCATCCCGAGTCAGAGTCTGGCATGGCTTGAATGACTGGAATGGGGCTTTGGAGCATGTTATAGTGTAACTGAGACATATGTATGCTATGTTAGAATATGGTTCTAGTATATGCAAGTAAAATCACGGAAACTCACAATTTTAGATACTTCTGTGGGCCCATTGTTCAGCCTGTTCACTCCCCATAAGCCCAGAAGCACCTCTCGATCCGAGGCCAGGAAGATGCCCATGATCTTGAAGCCGGGGAGGGACTGCCCAGAAAGATCATGCAAAGGTAGAATATAATGCGACATGACCTGTTATGATGCCACATGACACAATATGACAAGATAACGTCATGTAACATATGTATGTATGTATGTATGTGTATATATATGTACATAATAGAGAGAGAGAGAGAGAGATGTATCTGGATGTAATGCATACTGTATAAGGCAGTAAGCATGGAAAACGATGTCGAATGTGTATCATACAGTGTAGGACATGCAGTGTAATCTATGTCTCGTAAAACAATGTACAACGTGCCATGAAACATGTAATATGCGGTAAAATCAGTAAGATCTTATCTGTACTAAAGAAGTCTTGGGGTTTTCGGGAGCGACCGAGAGAGGGTCTTCTTCGTGCCGTCTCCAGAATGCAGCTCGGGGGCGGTTCCATGGGGTTTCTTTGGCAGAGCTTCTGGAGCTGAAGGGCAGAGGCTTGATTTTGGGGGGTCAGGGTTTAGGTTTTTAATGCTTAGGTTTAGGGTTTAGGGGTTAAGGGTTTAGGCCCAGAAGGAAGTCATTCAGCACTCTCTGCACAGGGACCGACCTGCTTGATCTTGTAGTTCGGGCCAGGGTTGATGAGAACTTTCCTGGCGAGTCTCCGAACTCGGGAGGGGCTCGCATGCAACCGGGTAATTACTATAGCATGCTAAAGTCAGAGTCCAATGAGTGTAATGTACTATGTCACCATACTATGTTACACCCCTACTGCAACATGCTCCAAAACCTTCTTCTAATCATCAAAGCTATGCAAGAAAGGGAGGCTTTGGGGGCGTTGCCTTCAAGCTCATAGTAAACTCCAAGCAGGGCCAGCAGCTAACGAGCAGGGCGCACTTGGAGTCTTGCCGAGCTTCGACCAGACCTGGGGAGGACTCTCCAAAGTCCCGTCAGGCTGCGAAGGCTCTAATATCGAGGCCTTAATACAAGCAGTTGTCAAAATTAGGGTCCCTAATTGGGTACCCTAAATATTAGGTACCGTTTTATAATAAGGACCCAAAAAGGGACCATAATTTTGACAACCACCCATAAGAATAGTAAGGAACCCCCAAAATGGTATAGGTAACTATTTACGCTCCTATTATATAATGCCCGTGAGATATCCTTACAGCTCAGGCTGCCGCCGACGAGATACACCAGGCCACCCGTCTGCTCGATGATATCGACCACAACCTGCAGAAAAGAACTCCGAGAGGAGAGGCGCAGCA